AATGCACAGCAGTAAGAAAACGAGGAAAGATATAAAAAACGAAAAATGTTTATGCTAATAAAATGGAAAAAGGTAAAACAGACTCAAAAAGTTGAAGGCTAGACACTGACTAATTTGTGCGCTACGTGTCACTTTCCTGTTTACTTTACCATAACAGAATTGCACTGCAAAACTTTGCGTTGTAAACAGCAAAACGTACTCTAAGTTTGTTTTTGCTTGATTAAACAAAAAATTTTAGTTTATAAATCAAATAAACTTGTGCATGAATGTTGTTTCGGAGCAAATTGCTGCCATGGCATTTTTAGGTTTTGTAGTCACAAACTTCGGCCGGGTCGGCTTCTGTGGAAAAGAAGTAGAGGTAATTGACACAAGCGAACAATGTCAAAGCCATTATATGGGCAAATGACCATTTTTCGGTAAATGGTCAGTCCGATCCCTTACTTGGCAGTAGTTGGCCAGACAATAATAATACATAATCAATAGCTTCAATCGATAGAGCATTCTTTTAATTATCCACATTCTGAGACCCAAGAGAGTGATTGGCTCCTACCGATGTGGCCAATAAACTTCGATCGTCATTCTCACCTCGAGAAAGCCATTGACGCACAAAAAGGTTGACGAAAAAAAATGGTACATTTTATTACAGCTACCGTCAACTGAATTGTTTTTCTCAACAAAGCCAACGTTTGCATTACTGAAACACTAAAAACAATTGCCAAAAAGCTATACTTTTAACTAAATTAAATTTACAAAAATTAAGTTTTTAAACAGTCTAGTAAAACATTAGTTTTCATTTTGTTACAAAAAAATAATTTGTTAAGTTTACATTAAAAGATTATAATGTATCGATTAAGTAAACTTTGATAACAATAAGTGCATGAAAAACTTATAAATTTTTAAATTGCGCAATTTTTTGTTTACTGTGCTAAAATATAAATTGTCAGATATATAAATACTGCTGCTTTTTAAAACATATTTGCTTATTTACCATACCTGCATCAAAAAAGTTTGCATCAAATTTCTTTTCACACTAAACCGATGATTGCAACAACGCAGAATGCACTCTTCTTGAACTTACATAAAATATTTTTTGAATCGCATTTCTGTTGTATTGACTTATCGGCAAGTGACAAGTCTTATAAAAAGCAAGCTCATTTTTAAAAAGCTTCAAAATCAAATGCCATTAGTGTTTTAATTAATAATTAATTGCATCTGAAACAAGTTAAATACATGAACGTTTCATTTTTAAAACAAAAAACTTTTAAAATTGCAGCAACATTTTTTATATTGCAATAAATTTGACGTTGCAATTTAGCAACTTGAACTTTGAATGTCAAATAAAAATGCAAAAAGTACATTACAAGCATGTCTTGAAACAATAAATGCACAAAAATCGTACCTAAAAAGATCTTCGATTCTAACGAAGACATTATCGTTGTCAACAAATCAATTACCTAATTCTATTTATAACCGCAATTTCAGTTTTATCGTGTTTCGCAAAGTTTTTATTTCTATAATTAGGTATCAAAAAGTTCAGTGCAGATATTCGAGCAAGCACTAATTAAAATTGACAGTAAGTTATTTTTTGAATATTTTTAAAAATTAGTTAAAATATATAAAAAATATTTTATTAACTATGTTGACACAAGAAAAACTTTTTGCATTTATCTTTTCGTTTTTCTATGTGAAGCGCAAACTAGAAGCTTTCAAAAATAGAACAATCAACTTTGAATAAATGATAGTCCAGTAGACTGTGGCAATGTAAAAATTAATGATTACGCTTATGCATTAGAAAATAAACCTGAACAGAGCAGACAAAAAAAAGACAATTTGAGACGCAACTTGACTTGGACCACCAATAGCCACATGAAGAGTAGACAAAACCAAAAAAGAATGCTAAGAAAAAAGGCCCTCTTTGACTTTTTTTCTTTTGCAAAAAAACAATCACTGAAGAATAAAACTGGAACTGCGACTGAAGTGTAACTGAACGTGTTCATTGGTAGAAAAACACTAAATTTTGGCAAAAGTGATGAAAAAGGCTTGTATACTCTTTTTTCTTTCAAATGACAAACATCAGTTGGCGAATAAACGGAAAAATAATATTCGTTTTGTCACGAGAAAGCTGCTGAGAGAGAGAGAGAGAGAGAGAGAGAGAGAGAGAGAGAGAGTTCCGGAAAGGGGTTGCATTAATGCATCAGTGCCGTGAACATCGCTTAGTATGCACCACCAGAGTTGTCATTAGAAATGTGGCAATTGCAGGAGCGGGGGGCGGGCGGCGGGAAGCTTGTGCAAGCTGTCACTGAGTGAAGACACTGGTGCTGCTGGTGCCCAGTCAGAGCTGAAAGAAGTATAAATCCACTGAGAAGATGACAGCTGTGAAGTTTCACTGACAAAATGCTTAAAAGCTCAGTCATACTGCCTACTCCTCTCGACGAGTAGCTTAATCGAAGCCGTTAAATGACTTGCATGAGTCGATTTATCTCAGTATCTAAACAGTGCTGAGTCAAGTCACAGCTTCTTAGTAGTGACCACCTAGAGAATTAAACGGCCAAGAATAGTTGCGAGACAATTGAATGGCTAGGCAAACAATAAAATAATGGCTAAATGGCCAGTTAGAACGGGCTGATTAGAAATCAAATGGCCTACACAATCAATATTGTTCCATAAAGCATAACTCATTTGACTGGTTAGTTGGCCATTTGCGTAAATCGATTCTCTGTTGTATCAACAACTGCTGTTTGCCCGAAATTCTCCACTATTAAGAATTCTGTAATGCTGGTTTATTGTAATCAGTACAGTTGACAACATGCAAACCACCTTAAACACCGGAAGTTTTTCTTGATAAACACGCTACGTTAAACTTGATTTTAGTCATAAACATGTAGCTTTATGCAAAAACAAATCAATAAGTGTATGTAACTAAAAGCTGTAATCACTTTATTTACAAAATAAAAACCAGTTAAAAAAATATAATATTGGATTCACGTGATGAGTACGATTTCTTTATTTTTTCGTTTTACACATTTACACACATTTTTTTGGTATTAACTACAAAAATGTGAAACACAAAAACTGTATTGTTTTTGTATAATAATAAGCACATTGCAAAACAAAAAACTAACTTTTTATCTTTACAGTTTATGTAGCATCTGCAACACATTAAAATTAACAACATCCTAGATAAAAATTTTGCGATTACATCAATCAAAAAGAAGTTAAAACTAAGCATATTTCACTTAGACAATATTTGTTTGCCTTCAAAGAACAGTCTTTTTATTGCTTAACAAGCATCATTCTCAAATGCATTACAACGGCATAGTAATTAGCGAGATATAAAATGTGCAACCCAGACAAAAAATCTCACAAAGAACAAAGATTGCATCAAAACTTTAAACAGAACAATCAATATGCCATGTTAAGGGGGGACACCGCGCTCTTTTTTACTGCTTTTTGGAACTTTGATTTTGGAGTGGCTATGATGTTTATGAAACATGTACTTAATACGAATTGCTAAGAATATCATGTAGAACAGTTTAGTGTTGATAGTTTGGCCCTCCGATGAATGAGCCGCCATCAGCAACGATCTAAGTTTTCTGAACACAACGGTAACCACATCGGTATCATAGGAAGGTGGCATGGCTTGATTGAAGGTGCCAAATGAAAGATAGCAATAATATCTAAACTTTGTTTGGCTTCGATTAATTTTTTAGGGTCTTAGTTTTTCTTAAACGATTTTTGATTCAAGATTTAGGATGAAAAACTCGTAAAGTTAAACTTTAAAATAAATTTTTTTAAAAAACTAAAGCTATTTTGAAAAATCGAAGCCAAACAAAGTTTAGATATTATTGTCATCTCTCATCTGGCACCTTCAATCAAGCCATGCCACCTTCCTATAATACCGATGTGGTTACCGTTAGGGTTAAAGATCTTGGTAAAAAAAAGCTATTGACTAGAAAGGGAAACTAAAAGTTCGAAAATATTTTGTTTATTGTGCGCTGTCCCCCCTTAAGTCAACAAAATTATTCCAAAAACGTGATATTAGTCTTGTAACAAAAATGCTGATAAATGAGTTAGATACAACAAAGATAAAGTAAAACAAAACTAGTTTATTCGCTTTCTATGCGAAAAATATATACATATAGAAAAACTGAAATCAAAGTTTAGCAAAGTAGAAAACCTAATATAACAGTTGTATAAGTTTACTTATTAGTCAAACTGTAGGTCTAAAAGTTATCAATTTACAGACACTTAAAAGATAAGTGATTGGCAATCCCGAAGGCGGCACTGCTTTTCAAATTATAATGCCGAAGATGAAAAAAGTAAATGCAGCAAAGTGAACATTGAGGATAATGAAAAGGGTGAATGCATCACAACATTGAACTGTCTAAAGTTCAAGTAGGCACTTGCAGTTTTTAATGTCAATTTATTAAAAATACACTTTGTGCTGCTTAGCATATATTTAACTTTTACCAGGTCATTAGATCAAGTACTGCTCTAGACTTGTGTTCTTGTTGTTATTTAAAATGCTGATAATGACATTGATACTTTTTATTTTAATAACAGACTCTTAATTAAAAACTACGCTAAAATACAAATCATTTGAAGCACAGTACCTGATAATCAATTGCTTCCAATCAATTGTTTGGGCATTCAGAACCGACTCGTTGACAATTATAAATTAAAAATAACTTAAGTTCCCTGACACAGTGAAAAATATCAAGTTTCTCCGTAAAAGATCCACACACTGGTCACTTTTTCAGTGTAAGAGAGTTGGTGGAGAAAACGGGCATGCTCAGCCGGAGGAAGAGGTTGTTGTTGAACTGAACTTGCTGGCCATTGAGGCAGTGGTGCTCAATAAAGTCGTGCACCGTTGGGTAAACTTTGCCTTGCATGTCGCGAACGTTGCCATCGGTGGGATCAATCATCAGCAGGTGCTCGTGTTTGCCTTTGTGCATGCTGCTGAGAACCACTTGTCCATGGATGCTGGTTGATTCTCTCACCAAAAAGTCTCCGTCCTTGAGGATGAGCTTCTCAGCATCGGTTCGAGAAAGCGGTCCATGGTACCAGGGCGCGTACTTCTCTCCTGAGCCATCCAACGAAGCTGTGCAGCTGTTCAGGGTACTGTTTGAGTCGGCTTTCTCTTGAGGAACTTGTTCATTTTCTACCACATTTTCAGGTTGCTCCTTTTTCACATGCACACTTTTTCGGGCAGTAACTTGCATGTCAAAGACCTGTAGACAAAAGGAAGAAAACAAGTGAGTATGAAAATGATTTTAACAATCTCTGAGCGTTACCTGATTTAACGCCTTAACTAGATCGTAGCAGTGCTCCGATCTAATGACTATGCAGACTCGGTTTTGGTCTTTGTTTTTGGCAATCACGGCGCAAAACCCAGATAAATTTGAGCGTGCGTACGACACCTTTTCAATGTCAAACTGCATTTTGTAGGCATCGCTGCTGAGGATGAGCGTAAAGTGTTTGGTGGAGACCGAGGCAATGGCCACTTCAACCGCTCTTACAGTGTTTGCCTCGCCCATAAACTGAGAAATGTTTTGGGGCGGCGAATCATCCTGCAGTAGATCACCGTATCCCTGCTCACGCATTAGAGCAATGCGAACTCGGCGAATGCAGCTTTCGACCAGTTGGGCCAGCGCTTCAGGTGTTTGCCTCTTGCAGGATAGGGTGTTTTGAAGTGGGACAGCGCCGAAGTAGAGGACGTTAAAGATAATGCCAACGGTGTTGGTCAAATCCGTTTTCGCAAAAAGGTGGTCTTCACCTGAAAGATCATTGCGAGAGGCAGTGGCTGGTTGCTTCTGGGTGGTATTCAAGGAGGAGTTCGAGAGGATGATGGTACTGCAGGAGCGGGCGTGTTGGTTCAGTCCACTGATCTGATCCATGGCGATAGAGGAGAAGAAGGACAAAAGACGGAGGGAAAATCAAGGCCGTTTGGTGAAAAAAGATTGTCGGTGAAATGAAAACCCAACAAAAACAAATGATGTGCCGACAACTTGAAGAAGCAAGATGACTGGCAGAATAGGGTGCACTCATTGCAAGAGCGCCCTCTAACCACAATGTGGTCACGTAACTGTCCGGGTAAGTCATCGGTCATGACCTGACTGTAAAACAGTGATGTCAACTACTGATAAGAAGTTACAGTCAAGTTTAAAATAACAGCTTGTTATTGTTTGACATCAAAGTCACTTCAGTACAACAAGAAAAATGTAAAAAAGTAAAAAAATGCAATTCAGAATTAATAGTAGTTTTTAAATAAAAAACAACGACTTTTTAAAGTACATGCCAATATCGTAAAAAGCAAAAGCTTAAAATTTGTGCTAAAATGCAAAAATGTTAATTACGTTCACTAGATTAAATGCTCTCAGTGAGAATGCATGAGAATAATTGCTTCTGGAATGTGAGCCTAAATGGATTGAGCAGTGTTAGGTGGCGGTGATTTACAATACATTCCATTTGCATTAGTTTGAGAGCAAAACTCAATTAGTGACTATGATAAATTTTGTTTGAAAAATTATTGCAATTTATTTAGACAAACATTACAAAATTGAAATAGTAGGACGATTTTAGGTCAAAAAATGAAAAATTCACAAGAGCAAACATTTATCAGAAAAAAATATATAAAATCAGCAAATGGACGTAACATAATAATCAATCACAAAACTCAATTAATTTTGGTAAATAATTTAAGTTATGTAAAAAATGATTATACAACTTTTATAAATTGGTTAGCATTTTTTAAGTTGATGCAAAAAAGTTTTGTAAAAAATATTTTTAAGTTNTCAATTAATTTTGGTAAATAATTTAAGTTATGTAAAGAATGATTATACAATTTCTATAAATTGGTTAGCATTGGTTAGCAAGTTGATGTAAAAAAGTTTTGTAAAAAATATTTTTAAATATAGATAAAATAATTAATTAAAGCAATAAAAAGTTTGAAAAGTTTCAAAATGATTTGGTTTTGTTTTATTTAAAAAATAAAAATAAATTTTAAAGTTTTTTTTGAAAAACAGCAATATTAAAATCAGTGATAATTAATTTTTTAATTGGGTTAAATTTAAAAAACATAATGCATTTCCGGCAACTTGTTAATGCAGCTTTTTATAAATTCAGCCCTAAAGGCGTTTAGGAGCAATAAAAAATAATTTATTCGATAGGTTTGTGTGCGTACGGTAATGATTACATTCTTCAAAAATCAGATAAAAATTATTTAGTAAAAGTATTTTAAAACATTGGTACATTTATTAAGCATACTTTAAATAACAAAAATATTAAGCATGATCTAATTATNAAATTCAGCCCTAAAGGCGTTTAGGAGCAATAAAAAATAATTTATTCGATTGGTTTGTGTGCGTACGGTAATGATTACATTCTTTAAAAATCAGATAAAAATTATCTAGTAAAAGTATTTTAAAGCAATGATACATTTATTAAACATACTTTAAATAACAAAAATATTAAGCATGATCTAATTATTAAATTTTACAAAAAAAATGATTTATAACAATAAAACTTGACTAAAAATATTTGTTTTGCACACAATGTCTCAATAAAATATTGCTCAAATTGTATGATTTTAATATATTTTTTATACAAATTGCTTATAAATTTAAATTGAAAATGTTAAAAAACCAACAAAGAAAAACGGACTTTAAAAACTAAATATTATTTGAATCAAAATAACCAGAAAAAGGCACAGTTTGATGAAAAGTAAAACTGGTGATTGGCAACGTGCTCAATCACAAACATTGGTATCATTTGTTGCAAGCAAAACTAAAATGAAAATCTTCTTCATCTATCACAATATTTTAACTTTACAAAATATTGGCTCGTATGTGCACTCCAAAAGCGACACTAAAGTTTATAAAAACAAATCAAATTATAAGACTTGAACCAATAACTTATAGGAAAAGATAAAACAGGTTCTGCTTTGAGAAGTCACACGGCACAGTGAAAGATGACTACAAAGCCCCTTTGCCCATTAGAAACTTTTCTTGTCTTTATTGAAAAAGTTTGATTTACCTAAATGATTCCAGTATTGTTTACAGCTTNAAATATTGGCTCGTATGTGCACTCCAAAAGCGACACTAAAGTTTATAAAAACAAATCAAATTATAAGACTTGAACCAATAACTTATAGGAAAAGATAAAACAGGTTCTGCTTTGAGAAGTCACACGGCACAGTGAAAGATGACTACAAAGCCCCTTTGCCCATTAGAAACTTTTCTTGTCTTTATTGAAAAAGTTTGATTTACCTAAATGATTCCAGTATTGTTTACAGCTTATAGGCTATTTGAGTTTTGCAGGCAATAAAAACCATTTGCGTCATCACACAGTTGGCAGTTCTTAAATGAACAATTTATTTCGCAAGAAAAAGAAGATAAGTTTGAGACCGCTTTATTTGCAGAAGTTACACTACACACCAAGATGCGGATGCCCAAAGGTAAACAGCACATTTGCTAATTTTTTTGCGACATTTAAAAATAACAGTTATAAAGGCGTCAACAATGACGACAGCAAGATGATGCGATGTACCTTTTCAAAAAAATTTTTGAAAAGTACTTCTTCTTAGCAGATTGAACAAATGAGGATAAACTTGAACATTTCATTCAAATGTTTGTTTAAACTTTTAAACTCCACGTCAGAGAGTTTGTGTGCGTGTGTTGGAAAAAACAAAATCAAAAGGCTTTGCTGTAAAAATGAGTAAATTCTGGGAAAAAGTCGATGCGAGTGCTATATGACCATGGTCAACAAAAGAACAAAAGTGAGTGAGAGAGAGCTAGCTTTTACTTCTCATGGTGGGGCAGGTTTTTGATCACCTGATCAACGGTAACCATGATCACCGAGAAGACCCACCAGACGGCGGTGCCGTAGACGTAGTACCGGTGCTGGAAGGGCGACGCAAAGGCATTGCTCCCGTAGTACAGTTGCTGCACTTGGGCGGCTATTTGGTCAGACGCCTTCTTGTCGCTCTTCGTCGACTTTTTCTTGCGTTGCTTGCCGCTGCTGTTTCCGCTCTTGATGCTGGTGGTAGCAGTGCTGGTAGCCGTTTCCGCCTGAGGGAGCTCCGTGCCTCCCTGGGAGAGTGCCTTCTCCTGCTGCTGCTGCTGGGACTCCCTGAGCAGGTACGGCGCCAGGTACTTCTCCTGAACGGCCCGGCGCGAGTAGTAGACGAGCAGCGTGGGAAAGACGTACTGAATGAGACTGCCGGTGTAGGCGCCCACCAGCGAGACGACCAGGGCGACGTTTTCGGTGAAGACGGACACCACCAGCGGCGGGACGATGGCGATCAGCGGGTAGGTGTACTTGAGCGCCGGCTGCTCGGCGTCCACCCAGAAGGCCAGCACTATCTTCAGGTTGTTGATCAGCGTCAGCGCGATGACGGTGTAGGAGGAGAAGATGGTGAAGACCGGATAGGAGGGCAGGAAGACGTTGAGGAAGACGATGTTCGCGTCCTGCTTCGCCAGATTGGTGTCGTTGGCCAGGCCACAGGGGTTCATCACAAAGTTCAGCGTGTAGACGTCTTCGATTTCGTCAAAGGCGAAGATGCCCGTCATGGTGATGAGGTAGTAGACGATCAGCACCAGGACGTACACTACTATGAGGCCGATGTTGAGGCTCTGCTTCTTGTCGATGGGCGTCAGCATGCCAGGAACGGAGTGATGGCACATGAATGCTAGTGTTTATCAATGAATGAGCAAGAACAAGTGATAAAAAGCGAAGTTGCTGTAACTGCTTCTGGTCAGCAGAGATGGCACTCACCGTAGACGCAGATGCCGAACATTCGTGGAAAGCCAACAATGCTGGCCAACTGAGGCTTTGGCTTGGCGGAGCTGTCCTTGGTGACGACGATGACGTGAATGGCAATGCCGATCATGCAGATGGAGGCCACCCAGCGGAGAATGATGGTGATCACCTGAATGATCTTCGTCTTGGTGAGGCCCAGGTAGGTGAGGGGAATGAGCACCACCATAAGGAGCATCATCAGCAGGCGGTAGACGTCGTGGCGGGTCCAGTCCAGTGTGTGCCAGCACCTGTGTTGGTGGAGTACGGTTGTAGGAACTTTACTTTACAGGAAAACTGTTTTTGCTAAAGTCAAATGAGCTACCTTTCGTAGAGCTGCTTCACAGCGTCACAGGCGTACTCGTAGGTGCAGGCCACCTCTCGCATGCTCTTGCTCATCATGGTGTTGTAGACAATGAGGTCGCCGTAGAGGTAGGCGAGAATGCTGACGAAGAAGAGGAAGGACATCCAGGGCAGAAGAAAGGCCTCCGACATGCCGCCCATCTCGAACTTGTCATTGATCTCAAAGTACTTCTTCAGGTCGAGCTCAGTCAGATCGACCACCAGTTTGGAGGTGTCAGACTGGGTGGAGGTAGCTTGGGTGGTGCTGGCTGCCACTGACGTGGATCCATTCTTGCCTTTCTTTTGCGTCGACCTATCTTTTGGGGAGTGTTTGACGTACCAGAGTGGATTGCTACTTTCGTCGTCATTCTTTTGTGTCTTGCCGCCCTTTGTCTCTTCTTCGGCGTCCTTCTGCTCTATGATGAGGCTCATCTGATGATCAAAGTTTGCATTAGCTAGTGCCTCTACAACAAAAGTCAACTGAATGTAGGACATGAAGCAGAGAATGGTGATGATGAAAAGGCCCATCAGCCAGCCAGCCTTTTTGTTTGGTGTAAAGGGAGGGATAATGGGAGTTGGTGAGAAGGGAGTGGAAAAGGTGCAAAGTAAAAAACTTACTTTGGAAAAAACATGCGGCATGGCTAAAGCTCCAGTGCCCAGGATCAAGTTAAAAACAAAGATACATCCAACCTGGTAGTGTAACTGTTGTAGTGCCAATCAAAAAGATCAATAGATGTACCACTTACAAGCAGGGAATAAGTGTCCCCGGAATTGACTTTTGCCTTGCTCGGTGAAACCATAGCGATTTTGTTGAGTGTGTGACTGCCAAAAAATTTTCGGAGAATAGTGATGACACTGTACTCATCTACACCACTTTGACATCAGCACCCAATCACAACTAAAGTAGAACTTTCCAAAAATATGTAAACAAAGCAATAACCGTCGTCATTTAATAAAATGCTAAGTGTGCGTTGAAGAGTTCAAAAATATAAAGCTGTTTCAACTTTGCCCCCGTTAAATGTTGTGACGAGTCTACAAGATTTCAGCATTAGGGTTGCCTTTTGCCGGCAGAAAACTCAGCACATCGCTTGGCGTACTCCTCGTCAATTTCCCTCGGAATGCCGCAAAGCATGCGGTACGTGCAGTAGCCAGCAACTGACGCCCAGAAGCCCATGATGAGTAAAAAGATCACCAGAGAGCCAGGTCCTTCCTTCCAAAAGTCGAGGCTTTCATTGAGGTTCCTGTCAATAGCCAGAATTTGTGGCCCAGAATTACTGGAACAGTGGTTTCATTAGCATCATCAGGCAATGAAAACACACACACACACAGTCAGCAGACTCTACTTTACCGATTTGCCACTGCTTTTCTGGCACCTTTTGTCGCGTCAGCACGATGCTCAAGTGTGGCACTGTACTGCAGTACTTTTTCCCGGCGAATGCCACTGCTCTTCAGCTTAAATGATTTTCCATCACATGTCAAAATGATGCTTGTCACCAGAATGAAAGTCATTAGCGCCAGCAGTACTTGGCCAGCCATGGCAGAAAAAAAGATGAAATTTTTTTCTATCAAACGTCAAATGAAGTTGCCTGTGACTAAATGAACTCAACAACATTTTTTTGGTGTAGTACAAACAAAATAAAAAAATTCGAAAATTAATGTAATCATCATAAGTTGACGAGTTGATCAGTCTGGGCAGAAAGTAAAAATTTTCAAAAACAGCAGAATAAAAAAGAAAAAATTATATAAAAGGTGATGCGTCAGAAAAAATAAAAATTTTAAGCTAGTTCCTACGTAAGATGTTTGCTCCACTTTACTAAACTGGAAAAAACTGGCCAATTTGTGGCGTCTTTAGATGATGGATCGCCGTGAATTTCATCTTTTTTGTGCCTGTTTCACAATGCCCGTCAGTGCATGTGCGTGTGTGTCTGCGTTGCCACTATTTTGTAGCGAGGCACACACAATTCTCAATCATCATAGCAGCCAATTAAATCGATTAACTTTTTGGTAAGCACAACGGTGAGAAAAACCAGTGTGAAATTAGTTCTTTCTACACACACACACACACACACTGGCCCACAAGCACACTAGCACAGACAGACACACATGCTCCCGCTCACTCTTTTCCTCCGCTTGGCTACTGTCGAAAAGTGTCACCAGGCGATGCCTGAGATGACAAAGTGATTCTGTGGCAGTGCTGCAGTGCACACTGCCTCACTCTATGCTAATCGACTCAATTGAGCAAGAAATGGCTCATCTTGTGCGCACTACTACTTCACCACCACCGCTCTCTCCCATCCATCCCATCCATCACACTCGACCAACTAATCGATATTGATTAAGCCTGACAAGTAAACACAAAAAAGAATGCCATATTTAATGAGCAAGCTGTGCTGACAGGATTGTATTAGAGCAAAAATGAGAGCATAAAAAACCTCGACCTTCAAGCGGGGAGTAAATGAACGAGGGAGGCTCATTAATTGGTAATAAACGAAGCCAAATGTATGTCAAACTTTGGGAGAAAGAGGGAGAAAGAGGGAAAAAGCAAAAACAAATCGAACAACTACAACTGAACTAAGTTAAACATCGGTCATTGACACAGTTTAATTTTTGTTTGCTCTAATTTGACTGTCTCTTTTTTCTTTTTCCTTTTCTCCCTCTTTTTTCTTTTTTGAGAACCCATTTTTTGAATGATCCATTTCTGTTTTTTTCTAAACCTTTGCCTAGTTACCAGCCAATACCAGCCAGCCAGGGTGGTCAGAAGGAAGGCTGCCAGCAGAAGCCACCAGTGTTCAATGACGACAACTGCTGCCGGTGCAAAGACTGCCGTCGGCCCACTGTACCACGGCACTAGGCTGGTCACCGTCACTGTCTGGTCGTTTCTTCTTTTGCTGCTTTTACTCTGCACTACATTGTACAAGTTCTGAAAGAGAAAGGCTATGCCCTTAGTTGCTGCCTTGAAAGCCTTCCCTACGCCGAGAAGGACCCAGCTGACGGCATCCCCGCCGTACTTGATAATATGGTACAACTTGTAGCGCACGTCTAGTTCGTCTGTGCTTACTGCAAAGAAGGTTGCCTCGTATGTCTCTTTGGTGATTTGTTTGATGACAAAGTGGATCAAGTTTGAAGAAACCAGAAAGGCTACCAGAGCCAAAGCTATATGGCCGGCAGCTTTGCACAGTACACTCCACAGTGTGGGCACGGCATCACCACTTCGGGGTTTGCCATTGATCTCCTGGCCAAGCACGGCAAATTTGAGCTTACTGTTTGAAGAGGGCTTGTCACGCTGCTCACTGTACGTTTCCCAGGTGCTCTTGAGAAAGACTCTCTTTTGTCGGTGAAAGGCAGTGCCGGGTTCTCTGTTCAAAGGGTGATGATGATGTTGATAATGATGATGGTGGTGATGCTCTGGCTCACTAGCCATTACGTTGACATCAGAGTATTTTCTTGTCCACTGAAAGAAGATGACTGCCAGGAATAAGCAAACTTGAAGACTACTGCTACTATTACTACTTCTGTGGCAGTTCATGATGAATCGAAAGGACATTCAATATTGTCCCACTGTGATTGTACACTTACAGAAGCATCAACACAACAATGGATGCCTTTGTTACTGTATTGCAAAGCAATGCGAATTTAGAAAAAGGCACATTTCGAGCTTTTAGATTTCTACTTAGACGATGTACTCACTGTTACTCTATTGTCAAAAACATTTTTTCAAAAGGGAAACAATGGATATAGGCCATCAACGGTTCTTTTTGCTTCTTTTCGGTGTTTGTCTGCTAACTCACATTGTCATTTGTGCAAGAGAAAGAAAACAGATTAAAGAAGGACATTACAACTTTCCTGCTTTGAAGAAATACGACATCAACTGGAACGCCATACAGAGCAAAGCTGGCCCCCCTCCAAATAACATTAACAAAGTCTTGAAAAATGCTTTCAAAAAATTAATATGCTTTGTTGTTCTCACTGTTATACCTTTTTCAGTTTATTATGTGACATCTTCTGATTCATTTTACCATAATACCAAAGAGTATACTTCAAGTTTTACCGATACAAGCTATTGGGGCTTCATTTCAACGCGTATTCTTGAATATGACAATTCAATAAGAAATTGGCTCAGTCAGAATTTGACCCCCGCAATTCAAAATTTGTGGATCAAGGCGAACAATTTGATCAATTCAAAAAATCAAGAGCCAAAGCCTTTAGTGGTAGTACCGAACCGTTTTACGACATTTATAGTCTACACCGGTCCAACGATGGTGGCCAGCAAAGAGTTAATTGTCATCAGCAGCAACTACATTGCCCTAGTCATTCTTTTCACCATTGCACTTTCACTTGGGGCACTTTTCTACTGGAAAAGACAAGTTTTCGTGGAATACATTCAAGAGAAGAATGGCAATCGTCGAAAAGCCAGAATGAAACGAAGAAAAAGTCGCTAAAGGACACTCATACACTCACACACACTTTAAGATTAGTTGTTTGTGTTAACTTTTTTTCGTATTAAAAATGTCGTACTTGCATACTGGTAAAGTGGTAATTTACTTCTGATGT